TCCAGGGGAGCTGAAGGCGACACAGAGGGCGGATTGAGGGAAGACCCAGGGGAGCTAAAAAAGGACACAGCGGGCTGAGGGGCATCTGAGAGGCTGAGGAGGGATCCGTGGGGCTGAAGGAAGATCCGAAAGGCTGATACAGCGAGGCTGAGGGGGGATCTGCAAGGTTGGCGGGTGCCGAGGAATACCCTATAGTTCACAACAAAATGAAGTCATTTGTGTCACAACATAATCAAAATGGAGAGGGGAGGGCCCTAAGGAAGCCGCCGTCACACACTTCTGAAATGCCAGCGAGGCTCGCTGTTACCTTGTAAACAGAGCTTATTCCAGCCATTTCCACTGGTCTGCAGTATTCTAGATGAGATGCCTGGACCAGGGCAGGCAGAGAGCATCGCTTATCTGCCCCAGCAAACCACGGTTACTTTGTGCAACGAATTCCTGAGACTAGGACCTTTGTTTAGTGAAAGTTACAGATGAGGAATGTAATCACTTGTTCAGGCCCAGACAAACAGGGCTGGAAAGGACAGGAGGCTCAGGCTTAGTGTCTGAAGTAAGAACTGTTTGCAAGGACTTTCTGAAAACCCCACAATAACCCCTTTTGTGTCCTTCGCGGGTCTCCTACTTTGATAAAATTTAGACCATCTTTAGGACTGCAGCAATTCAGATAAGATGCTCGGAGTAAACACGTCCAGTAATGGCAGCTTCACCAATGAACTGAGGACAACTTTGAGCTTTGGTGTTGGGCCTCTGGAACCAATGAATGCTTTCTAAGCAGCTTCTGTGAACCTGTCCCTTTTGGCTAATAAAAAGTTCCCTTTACCCTTCCCTTACCAGGAGTGCTGGTGGCTGGTGTTGTTGACAAAAAGAATCAAACCCTGTAAAATATTTTAAGAGATTTATTCTGAGCTAAATATGAGTAACCATGGCCTGTGACACAGCCCTGAGGACAGAGGTCCTGAGAACAGGTGTCCAAGGAGGTTGGGGTGCGGCTTGGTTTCATACATTTTAGGGAGGCATGAAACATCAAATACATTTAAAACCTCCATTGGTTTGGTTCAGAAAAGCAGGACAATTCGAAGTAGGGGTCAGGGGTGATGACTTCCAGCTTATAAGTAGATTTAAAATTTTTCTGGTTGAGGATTGGTTGAATTTACCTAAAGACCTGGGATTAACAGAAGGGAATGTGTGGGTTAAGATAAAGGATTGTGGAGACCAAAGCTCTTATTTGCAGAGGAAGCCTTCAGGTAGTAGGCTTCAGAGAGAATCGGTTGTAAAATGTTTGTATCCGACTTAAAGTCTATGTCGATGTTAATGCCAGAGAGGTATAATGAGGCATGTCTGACCCCCACTTCTCGTCATGATCTGAACAAGTCTTTCAGGTCAAATTTTAAGAGTTCCAGGTCAGGCACAGTGGCTGACGCCTGTACTCCCAGAACTTTGGGAGGCCAAGGCGGGTGAATCAGTTGAGGTCAAGAGTTCAAGGCCAGTCTGGCCAACAGGGTGAAACCTGGTCTCTACTTTAAAAAATACAAAAATTAGCCAGGCATGGTGGTGTGCACCTCTAATCTCCGCTACTCGGGAGGCTGAGGCAGGAGAATTGCTTGAACCCGGGAGGCGGAGGTTGCAGTGAGCAGAGATGGCGCCACTGTACTCCAGCCTGGGTGACAGAGCAAGACTTCGTCA